AAAACCATAGATCTGTGAAAATTGATGCTAAATAAAATATTCTTAATACTCCCGTTGCAAACAGTTTTATTATAATGTGATTTTTTATATACTTGTGACTCATTGCAAAGAAAAACTTCACACTCTGGAAACCGTTGAAGCTAGTGGAAGAAGCCGACATTAATTGAATTATATTTCACCATAGAAGATCTTATATTGAAACGTGTATCAAAAGAAAATCAAGAGAAATACACTGAGATAAAGAAAAAAAACAAAAGGAAAGGCAACCATGGTATCTCAAACAAACAAAAGCAAAATTATAACTTAAACCAGAAAATATACAACACAAGTATTTTATCCCGGGAAAACAGAAATTCTTAAAATCATGTATTCATGGTATATGTGTGTGTGTGTTTGTGTCTCTGTGTGTGTTTGTGTGTGTGTTGTAAACATAGGTACGAGAACTAGATAGTACATGTCTTTTACATATTTAACAAATTCATTAGACCATTTCATAAAAGGGCTGAAGATTTCGTTTAATTATGAATCTATCGCCATTTCATTTAATTATCAATCTATCGCCATCCAAAATTGATGCCTATGTTATCACAGGTTATACTTACATATGATCTGTCGTTAATCTTAAACAATTTCTCTCATAAATATTACATACATCAAAAATATATACAGCGAGAGATGGATAACGTGTCGTCTAAAAATGAAAAATAAAAATAACACCAGTATCTCATTTTAACAGATATATTTACAAAAATTACACAAAAAATATCTTCAAATACTATAGAGTCAATCTACACAATAAAATCGCCATTGGTTTCAACCATGGCCTCCAGAGAACGCTTGAATCACCTGCAACTCTTCTGGACGATCTCCTCGTGTAAGAATATGAATGATTCTATAATCCTTGCCTTCAGTTCATCTTTTATGTAAAAAGGAGTTTTGTTGGTCTATCTTTAGACTGTGCACCACACACAATAATCAAGGGGTGCAGTTTGGAGAGTTAGGTGGACAGATGTAAGGGGTGACGTGATTCTGTTCTCATGCTTGTGTGGATTGGTACAAGGTCCTGTTGCTAGGCATATGGTCTTCCAGCAGTCGCCTTCTTGACACATGGCAGTTCTAGCTCCACAACGCACTTGATGTAAACCTACATGATGTTTGAGGGTCTCGCTAACAAATTCGGGAATTCTTTTCTTATCGTGACTATCAAAGTGAGTTGTCTGAGCTCTCGTATCTTCGTAATCACTATTAGATTCATCAAAAATTTTTCCGAATGCTCTGCACTACCTTCAGATTGACAATCGAATGATCTGAATGTTCGTGTTGTCGCTTCCGGTACGAATGCCAAGCAGCACATATTCTGGCGGAGTGGTGTCCGTTTTCACACAGATAATTTCCAGCTGACTCTACTGTGCAGTCCCCAAATTCAAAAATAAAGCGCATGCGCGAATTTAAAAATTATAAATAGCGAAAATTTACCCATCGCACCCTGTATTATCACATACATGTGTGTGTATGTGCGTGTGTGTGTGAATTTGTGAGTGTATGTGTGCATGCATTTAAACATGAAAATATGACAATATCAATGTCTATATCTGATGACATAAAACGTGATTTTTTTTTTTAATTGCGTTGATAATTTTTTTTTTTCTTTTCAAACCGGATAAACCTCCAGAAGAAAAGAGTGTTGTTTATTATTATCTGAAACTATTTTCTGAATTTCCTATAAATACGTATCATTTTTTTAATCGTTTCACCCCAAGCAAGGCAATAAAGACACTACGACGCAAGGAGTTATTTAGTATTACAGAATATAAGAAAAACTATCATTAATAATTGAGCACACTAATAGAACAATAACTAAGACAGAAGATAACGATTGCCATTACATTTAAATTTTTTAAGATCAAAGTTAACTGGAAAACAAGAAACCGAAAGAGATTTCCACAAACTCGAAGTTCGATAGAAGAAATTAACATAGAATTTCCGGTTAAACCTAATCATTACAACTGTAAAATGATGAGACCTTGACGCCAATCTAGTACTGCACATAAATTCATGAATCTAAGTACGATAGGAGAAAGTTCTCATCAAAATTGCCATGAAAATATTTATAAAAAGGGGAGATACATTACGGTCGTGAATAAGTTACCGAAGCCGAGATGGTAGGTCAGGAAAAATTCAATCACTTATTCATCTTTGGATTTTATCAAGAATCTCTAAATATATACACAGCATTTTTTTTTCATTATTTTATCATACATACCAATTATTTCCGATAATGAAGTGATAGTTTTTTATGTTCGTTTCTATTTATCTCTGAGCAATTCACTTTTGATATTTTCGAAATGAAATTCCGGTTATTTCATTCAAAAACCTAAGTAGCAAAACTAAGCCGTATTTGTATTAAGAAAGGTTTATACATTCAATATGACCATTCATGTACGAAAAGTTCGTAGTCTGACTATAAAGGAGTTGTGTTAGAGTTGTGGAATCTTGCATGCATTAATTTCAACACTTCTTATTAATAACTGCTTTGTTTCCCGTTAAATTGACATGAGGCCGTTCAAAATAATTTAAAACTAACTGATATCACCTTGTCTTGAAAATGGATAAATTTTGGCATGGTGGTGTTTTCAAGTACCTGCAGAAAAAAGATTTCGTTCCCAAGGACTTTCATGCTGACATGGTTTCTACATTAGGGGATAACACTCCAGCTTCCCAATTTCGTACAATACTAAAAGTATAAAAGTGAATTTAGGAAAAGAAGAGAGAGTACTGAAGATGAATCCAGGTCTGGAAATCCTACAGCTGTCATTACAAATGACAACATTGATCGTGTTCACTGCATTGTGATTGATGACAAGCGGTTGACTATGAATCAAATAGTTAATGTTATTTGCATATTTCGTGAGATTGTTGAGAATATTCTGCACAATGAACTTGGCATAACGATGGTTTCTGATCGGTGGGTGCCACGTCTTCTGGGACCCGATCAAAAGCGCACCAGGCTGATCACATTACGGGGAAATCTGATATTGTTAGAGGCAGACCCAGCTGATTCCTTGTAAGTTTCCTCACCCAGGATGAGGTCTGGGCTCACCGTTGTGTGCCAGAGACAATGAAACAATCTATACAGTAGAAACACCCCCTCCTTTCTTGTCCCAAATGCAGTTAAGGTTGTTTTCTTTTCTGCAGTGAAGTTTATGGCTTAAGTTTCGGGGATGCAAACAGCATTGTGGCCACCAAATCTATAGATTATACTATGCTATCTTGCTCAGGCAGTTACCAAATGCTATCAAGACGAAACACCAAGACAAATTGACGAAAGGGAAATGATTTAAATGGCTGATATGTGTAACTGTGTCATTGAACTGTGTCATTGATAAATTCTTCAAAGTCATCCTTTAAATTTACCGGCTATTATCTTTCCTTGTCATAAAAAAATACTATTTATGAGATGCTAGCCATATCTGCTGTTGAATGACTTTGGGGGGCTAATAGAATGGAAGCGTCTCCACCAATGGGGGGGGTGGCAACCATTTCAACACAGATGGAAGAAGTATGCGGACTGCAAGGCGACGTCATATTCCATGAGAGTATATTTTTAAGCCTATGAACTTTTTAGCCGACCCTTGTATAACTTATATATGCAAATGAACATATTTACGTATATTTATATTTACGCACACTCACATTCCTGTATAAATATATATAAATTTTAACATAGATTCACATATATACACAGCACTGAATGTACATAAGTTGGTAATCTTATGTTGAAAAGCCATTTATTTTACAAAAGATAAATTTTATCAACATAATCTTCTTTCCTGTCAATGGACTTAACCTAACGCTTCGCATGAATACTACTATTACTACATATATCGAGTATTATCCACTGAATATTTCATATAAAAATCAGCTAATAACTATGTCAGGCTTCGGGACCAATGGTCTATCGTTCAACGACTGTGAATGCTTGTATGTGATCATATTTATATCATGTATGATATCTTTAAAACCGCGTTATTTCATATAATTAAATATACAAATGTATAAAGAAAAATACAAGCAAACTAAACAACTTCTTTTACAATACAATGACAATTACTGCTTGCAGTTAAACTGTGTAATTAACTTACCGTTTACAAGTTGACTGTTTGGGTTAACAACTTTACGACAGACAATATATGTTAAAGTGTTATACGTCTAAATTATAATAATGATGTCCCAGTAATTTTTTTTTTTTAGTTTAGAACAACACTGTTCTATAATCGATGTTTCGATAGAAGATAAATATGACACCAAATATAGAAAGAGACTGGCTGTTGAAAGTGTTATTTCTTTTTTATCCAAATGTATTTGTTACTTTGAAAAAGAAGATCCAAGATTGACAGAGAAAATTTGAAAACAGTAGTTCATTAATCAATACTCTACAAAGTCAGGTATTACATTTTATCATGAATTTTTTATATAATCATTTTGTTACAACGCAAATACGTTAATTTAGAAAGATGAGAGGTGATAAGCTCTGTAATGTCCTTTGCGTAACATATACCAAGAAAGTAGGCAAGTTATACAACAATGCTTCAAATTATAATGTCGGTTAACTAACAAAGTAATTTGTCAGTTGTTGTGTTAAAAGCGATTGTGGATTTGTTTCTTCTGTTTAAAACGCGAATATATTAAATGATTCCCCAACATTACGGTGAGTTTTCAGTATTTATTCAGATTTATTTCTTAGTACGTGGGTAGGGTCAAGGACATTTCAGCTCCACAGTTTCCTTTCAGTTTCAGTCAGTAGCAACAGGCAACACGGCGCGAATCATCAAGTCGATAAATATAAAGATGCCGTCGAGTCTTTTCATGAACCGAGGACGAAAAAAACACATACGCTACCCCTTGTCGCAGATCCAAGTGAATTTATCAATGAGGATTGTAATTAGAAAAATAAAACTACCTTTAATTAGAACATGAATAAAGTTCCATTTTTAGAGGGTCTATGAGTCTGTTCTGTTAAAATTAGTAGATAGAAGGGATCCGTTGAAACATTTAAATATTTCATGTGACGAGCTACCTATGTATTGGCGAACTAATAATTCGAAGAAAAAAAGAAGAAATAGTACTTTATAAACACCCACAATGAGATAGATAGATAGTGAGAAGAATGAAATAGCGATATATAGATAGAGAGAAAGAGAGATAGAGATACTGTGAGAATAATGAAATAGTGACAGATAGATAGATAGATAGATAGATAGTGAGAAGAATGAAATAGCTATATATATATATATAGAGAGAGAGAGAGAAAGAGAGATAGAGATACTGTGAGAATAATGAAATAGTGACAGATAGATAGATAGATAGATAGATAGATAGATAGATAGTGAGAAGAATGAAATAGATATATATATATATATAGATAGAGAGAGAGAAAGAGAGATAGAGATACTGTGAGAATAATGAAATAGTGACAAATAGATAGATAGATAGATAGATAGATAGATAGATAGATAGATAGATAGATAGATAGATAGATAGATAGATTTAATATATTGAGGAACATAAAAATGTGTTTGCTTTAAGGGAGTGGAAATTTGCTAAGTAGTAATTGACGACATTAGATTTCCCATCATATTGCATAAGGGTAAATGCTTTAGAGAAAGAAGCATTACTTCTAATTTGTCTACACTTAAAGATTTCGTCAAAGTATTTTCTTTTGCCTTCAGATGTAACAGCATTTTATTTTCTTTGGCTACCAGCAAAGCTCGACACAAATGAATTCTCACAGCTAATAAAACCGGTATTGGCCTGGTGCCACGCCCTCTGATAGGGAGAATGTGATTACTGACCCTCACCATTTTCAGGTCTAAGAATCAGGTTCCTTGATGGCTTCACACGTAATGCATGGTAACGACGTGAAAAATTAAAGCAATTTAATGGGTAGCATAAGCATCACGCTATAGCTTCAGCTAGTCATGCTGATTGTCACTTGCTGCTCACTAAAGTTATTCTTTAGATATTCTTTCAAACCAGAAAGGGCCAGATAGGTTTGAAACACCGTTTCCCATACAATCACAGAAGTTAAGCAACTGATCAGCATTTAGATGGGTGACTGCTTAGAAATACCAGGTGTTGTAAGAGTGGGTGTGTCTATGATGCAATGGATAATGGCTAGGAATTGTTAATGCTGTAACCAAGTTCCAATTTCTGTTGGGTTCGTTATATCCACTTACACGCAAATAACCTTGAGAAAGGTATGATTCCATTTCTTCTCTTCCCCAGCTATGGATTAATTAGTAAGACTTGTATCTCTAAAATCATTATTATCTCAAAAAGAAAATTTACAATCTACAACTATTTCCCGGCTTTAAATAACATGCAAAGTTTTGATAAGTTGGAAAAAGCGAATTAATTAATCCAATCAAACCAGAAGGTGAATACAAGCATATCAATTGAAATTCGGCCTGGCAAAATTATATATATATATATTTAAAAAAAAAAATTCTTCATCCATGTTAATTTCCTTATTTGGACTGAAAATTTAACAAATGTATTTTAGGTTAATTTACTGGAATATCATACCATATGATTTTTTTTTCTTAAAATCCTAAGATTTTTCATTAAATATTCATATTTGATTACTTCGTATAAATGTTATTTTTAATAGGTACACGTGTTTCAGTTTTTACACTTGATTTTGTTTTAATCTGAAATCAATAATAACCGGTCTAAATTCGTATAAATCTGAACTAGAAAACCATGCCTTCTTTAATAGATAATCCGCCTGGCTCCTTTGCCGAAATGGTCAGTAAAAAAGAGATGCAGGTTCCATTCCTGTCAAAGACACAATTTTTCTTTAGTAGGACTTTTAAATTCAGGCGGGTTATTTTCTGTTTAAGAAAATAAAACCAGGTTTAAAAACTCAAACACGTGCAGCCACTAAAATACCGTTTATAGTGATATGAAATAATATCGAATAAAAACATCCTTAAAAAATTAATAATTGATTATATATAGTATAATATGAAATGTATTTGCACATGAGCAAGTTTCAGTAGAATTTTGTTACATTTTTATAAATGATTTTCATTTCTGTTTTGAAATAGGCTTCGAAAATTAGTGTTAAGCGTTAGATGGAAAACATATATTTGATTTTCTTTATTTAAAAAAAAAAACAAATTATAGAAATTTTAAAACGGTAAAAAACCCTTCAACGTGTTTAGAGTTTGAGATTATATCACACTGAGTCATCGGTTCTCGTAAGATCACTAAATTTAAGCAACCTAGATTTATATTCTTTATTTATAATTTATATAATTTTTATATCTATATAATTTATATTTTTCCTAGCAGCATGACGCGGCGTTGCCAGTGCTTGATTCAAAAAATCGTACGACTCATACAGAAATCGCTATCACTTGACTTGAATATTTTTGCTCTTCCTTGCCTTTAAAGGAGTGCCCTTTGCCGTGCTGATGTTGCTACATGCCTTACTTCTTGCCTATCTCACACTGTGAATTTTTTTTAAGCTCTATGCTAAACATTAAATCTGTTACGAAAAAAGTACTAAACAAAATGAACACAAAACGACCAGCTTTAAAAAAGGATTCGTAAGTGGAAAAACAGAATGAAAAATGAATATTAACAACAAATACTTTTTCACACCCAACCCAGTTCTGCGGAATCAGAATCAATGTTGAGTTTAAGCAAGCGAATGAACCGATTGGAGTAAAGTGCCATGCAGATTTAAATTTTTCCCACTTGTGACGAATGCAGCTATCGATTTTTTTGCATGCTACCATGCTAGTTAACATTCGTGTCAGTCAGCTGTTGGCTTTCACGCTGGCCAATAGAATCTTCCTGTCTATTCGTGGCAGCCAGCTCACTCTGGCCAGTACAAAATGGCCGCAGACTACATGAAAACTGCCGTAGAAGCATGAAAAAATCGATTATTTCCACTATGGATGGGAGTTGGGAAATGCAATGTCGGTCTTGGCCTTTCCAGTAACTTGGATCATCTGCATGTAAATTTTGGTGCAAATCCGTCGAAAATTGTGGCCGTGCATTCATTACACACACACACACAAACACACACACACACATCCTGCCTTTTATAGATAGAGATATTATATATAAAATTCAAACATATATAAATATATATATACAAATATATATATAAAGACATATACACACACACACACACACACACACATATATATATATATATATATATATATATATATATATATATATGTAAAAATTAAAATTTATCAACTATGCTAAGAGTAAATAACGAAAAATATAACAACTGGCAATATTCATTATATTGTCTCCATTTATAGAAAATTATTTATTTACCTAAGACGCAAGGAGTTACTGAGCTTTAGAAAATATAAGAACAAGTCTATTAAGAGCGAAAGGGAAGTAAAAGAACATATATTAAGAACACAAATGATAGCCTAGACTGAGGTAAGTTTTCCCTTTGTCTTTATTCATATTGCTTTTTTACGCTGATGCTCTATTTATTTTACGCACACACATGCCCACACGCAAGTACACACACACACATGCACGCGCGTGCACCCACAGACAAACACACATATACATATATATATATATACTTACTATTTTTATGGGATATATCAGTTTTATTATATCTTCTATTATTATTTTCGATATCGTTTTTAATTGCAACGATATTTAAAATTCATTTTAAAATAAGAAATATGTTTTACCAGAAACACAAAAGAACCCTAAATATTGCAACAACGAAATCGTCATCATATCAATGAGTAGCATAACAGTGACGATATGTTTTTACAGACAATATTCCGGGCACATCAGCACCTTTTTTCTGTCCAAAACAATGATCGATATAAAAATGTTTAATATTAGCTTTATTCTCATTGTTAATATTATTTTTTAAAAATATCATGTCTTTTCAGTAAGTAGGCGATTATGAATCTCCAGAAATTCCTTTCCTGTTCTATTTTCCGAGGCACGGTTTGATCTTTAGGTTTAATATGAGGAAATGTTCAGTGGAAGCTAAGCAACGGATCTCCGGTGCACATGATAATGATACAGTCGGTGCAAGCACATGATAAAAATGGATTCTGAAGCGAAATATAGAACCATTTGAAATATTTTGAAGTGAAAAACAATGGCAGTTCAGGAAAGGCTTAAAATTTGAAAACTTTGTGGAACTTTTGAAAGTATATGTTGCACAAAATATGTGGGAAGTTGCAGAAAAAAATAAGTTAAAATCAGTCAACACCTTTGAAATATATTGGGAAAAATATTTTGGGAAAGGAAGTCGATTTGTAATTTTGCAGTATGACAGCGACAACAATCCTATTGCAAGAAAAGAAGAAGAATATATATATATATATATATATATATATATATATATATATATATATATATATATATATATAAAAATGAAAATGTATTATCTATGGTAAGAATAAATAACGAAAAAATATAACAACTGGCAATATTCCTTATATTGGCTCCTTTTATAGAAAATAATTTACTTATCTTAATCATTTCATCCGCAACGAAATCAATTAAGACACTAAGATGCAAGGATCTACTGAGCTTTAGAAAATATGAGAAAAATAAGTCTATTAATAGCAAAAGAACATATATTAAGAACACAGAAGATAACGCTTAATATTGCATTTAAATTTTTGAAGATCAAAATTGATTTGGAAACCAAATGCCAAGAGCCTTCCACAAGCGAGAAGTTTTATAAGAAAAAACTGTTGGTATAGAAATTCTGGTAACATCTAGGCATTTAAATTGTAGAATGATGGGTCTTGTCGCTAATTAATTTCTGCGCTTAAATTCATAAAATGTACGTACGATAGAGGAAGGTTTATCAGAACAATTACCGTATTCATTGGCAGGCATAAGGAAGCTAAGTTCGGTCGTCAAAAAGTGACTAAATCCAAGATGCCAGCGCAGTTTTTTCTTTCAAATTTATCAAGAATCTCTCTCCCTCTCTCTCTCTCCCCTCTCTCTCTCCCCCCTCTCTCTCCCCTCTCTCTCTCTCTATATATATATATATATATATATATATATATATAACAGGAGCACCAAACTAGATGCTGTAGCGGAATTCAAAGCAAGGATGAGTGGTAGACTTCTAAATATTTATGTAAATATCTTACATAAAATTAAAACTTGAATCTAAATTCCTGCTAAAAATATGCTGATATTGTTTCAAATATTTAAAGGTCTTCACAATATAAATGTTTTAAACGTATATGTAAGGAGGGTAGCATGTGAACGATAGTCAGTTTGACGATTTAGATAACAACATGCATCTTGTCCAAATCGTCGAACAAAATGACGTGAAAGCCACTGTAGAAGTACATATATGTCGCAGCCGTTACACCAGGATTTTCTAGATTGGTAAGCGTTGAAAAACCGACAAGAAGCAGTTATCCCTTTTCAGTATGTGCGGGGGCGTAATAAACTGCATCTATAGCGCGACTTTCAAGAGAATAATGGACGGAGAGACTAAGCAACAAGGAAGTCTTAAAGAAAATGGCAACAAAAAGAGTACATATAATTACAATCAGGAAATGGCCGCTGCAATTCCTTGGACGCATAACGAGGAAGCTGCGCTTGAAAAATTTAACGCTCACTGTGCATAATGGAGAAGAGAGCGTTGGAGGAAGACAGCGAGCCAGTTATTTGGCGTCTTTGTGTAAATGAATGATGGAACGGTGTGGCGAGTGTCTTAGAAAAGAGAGAAAAACTGCTAAGTGCTTTACGAGATAGAAAGTTGTGGAGAGTCATTTACACTGATTTTTTTTCTTTTCACAGGGACTATCGTAAGAAAATTCTATAA